GCATCATTCCCTTCTCTAGGCTTGGCTGTCTCCTCATGATGTGGCATTCAAAGGACTTCCGCTTTCCCTCTACTCTCCTTCCCTCCATCAGGAGATGCTAGCGGGGTACAAATAAAGTTAACAATAATAATAATAATAATAATCTTGCCGCTGAGTTAGGGTTCCTAACACTGGCTCTCATGCCTATATAGAATAGTAATAATCTAGAGTTCCTGTCATACTGGCCCTCATGAATAATATACAGTCCCCAAAACTGGCTTTCATGCCTATATGCAATGTTAATATTATTAATAATACTGTCATGAAAACTTTTGAATATCTTTGAAGCACGGGTTCTTTTTACTGCAATTTTCAGTGTGGGAGGGTATATCCAAACTTACAGGACAACATTTTTACACAAAGAACAATATTAGGCATACATGTTGGCGCGTGTAAGAAATCAGTTAGTGTGTGTGTGTAAAATAAGATGCACAATTGGTTAGACTATGCATGGGGAGCTAGCTGAGCCTGGGACTTTTGGCTACAGTTACAGGTGCTTGCAGAGAGATTGAGAGAGAAGTTTGAAGTGTGTTCTTGCTTCATGAGCTGCTGGAGGAAGATTTTCTACATGGACAAAGAAACCATTTTAAATCTTTCTATGAGTTAATGCGACTGATCACATGATTGTACATATGTTGTTCTGAATTACAAAGTGTAAATTACTTCTTCTTTATTGATCATCTATGTGGCATATTTTCTTTCTCTGGCAAGACAGTGTGTGGACTGATCAAACGTGAACTCACATTGTTTACGCCACAAGACAGACATACAGATTCTATGTAACTACATTGGATTCACAACCTACAGTTACATTGGCTAACAAAACGGGTAGGGGGGTACACTTTTACTCAGCATTCACTCACATATAAACATTCGGTCGTCCTCATGCATACATCACCATTTCGCCATTCTTTCGCCATAAAGAACACCTGCTTTTAGACCGGACCCTGCTTTCCCTGCAGCCTGCCAACGCGCAGTTCCAAAACTTCCACAATGCCAAAAAAAGAACATGACTCTAAAACTGCAGTCTTTTCTCTTCCCTTGTGTACAGAATCCTCCTTTCCCCAGAGCAGGCCTGACACTCTCCAAAGGGACACCATCACTTTCCATAAAGCATGGCGGGTGAACAGCTTGCTGCCTGTCAAACTTTTTGACAAACTGTAATAAGGGGGTGCTTTGAATGCAATTTTCCTGCTTCTGGGCAGAATGGGGTTGGACTGGGTGGCCCAGGAGGTCTCTTCCAACTCAAGGATTCCAAGGTCCTTCACATAGCAACACTTTGCTGATGTTTTCCCAAAGTTGGAAATTACTGAGAGGTTGTTTGGCCAGCTTGAAACACCCTGGCTTCATCCCAGTTCCCTGGGATGCAGATGTGGACATAACAGGCTTTCCTTCTCAAGGAGCCTTGTTTGCTTCCTTCTTAACATTACACACATTTCCTTTACTTAAAAGAGCCAGTGTCTCTGATTAATGTAAACATGTTGCTTTCCCCAACAGTTCTTATCAATGTCAGCCATTTACTGTGGCAGGTCCACCATTTCAGTTCTCATTAGCATTGCACCTACCTCCAAAAACCTCCACATATTAACTGTCCAGTTCAGCACTTTTTAATATTTGTCCATTACATTTGGCCCGGCCTTCAGGTTTTTAAATGCGTCATGGTGTCATTGTTTTTATTGTTTTATTGTTTTGCTTGATGTTTTATTATTTGCTTATGAGTTTATTGTTGTATTTGTATGTTGTTGGTGGTGGTGGCCTTGGCCTTTGTAAGCCGCATCGCGTCCTTCGAGAGATTTTGCGGGGTATAAAGTTAATAATAATAATAATAATAATAGCAGGGTTTTAATTACAATTCAGCAAGCAGGCCTTAACCTTAGACTTGCGTCTTCAGCCAAACTCTTGGCTCTCATTCATTCCTTCCTTCCTTGCCTACCATCCAACCCGTGTGTCCTCTTTCATGGAGACAGACACCTGCCTCCCTTGCAGCTCAAGGCACTCGCTTGAGGAAGACGGAGAGAAGCCTCGTGATGCTCCATGGCTGTTGTTGTTGTCGTGGTTCCTGCCTGAATGTGGCCTGTCTCCCGCAGGGACTCGAGGCGCCCCAGAACCACATCACACAATACAAACGGAAAACAAAATACTACCATTTTAAAGCCTCGATTCAATCTGAGAGTGTGGATATAAAGTAAAAATTTTCGATTTCTTCCCTTGGAAGACTTTAGGGTGGTTTGGTGAGCGACAATTATTTATTTATTTATTTGCTTTATTTCTATACCGCTTTTCTCAGCCCTCAGGCGACTCAAAGCGGTGAGCAACATCAGTACAAAACATCACAAAACAAGTATACGACAATTAAAAACAATTATCACATAAATCATTAACATCCGTATAACAATCATTAGCGCCTCAACAGTAACATCAGAATCCAGTCTCATCATCCATTATTCCGTATTCCTATGTTCAAGTACACTGTTTAATCAAAAGCTTGTTCGAACAGCCAGGTCTTCACTTTCCTCCGGAATGCCATCAGGGAGGGGGCCGATCTGATGTCTGCAGGCAGGGCGTTCCACAGCCGAGGGGCCACCACTGAGAAGGCCCTGTCTCTCTTCCCCACCAAGCGCACCCTTGATGCAGGTGGGACCGAGAGCAGGGCCTCCCCAGACGATCTTAGTGTCCTAACTGGTTCATAGGAGGAGATGCATTCGGAGAAGTAAGTAGGGCCAGAACCGTTTAGGGCAGTGCTTCTCAACCTTCCTAATGCTGTGACCCCTTAATCGAGTTCCTCATGTTGTGGTGACCCCCAACCATAACATTATTTTCGTTGCTACTTCATAAATGTCGTTTTGCTACTGTTATGAATCGTCATGTAAATATCTGAGATGGTATTTTCATTCACTGGACCAAACTGAGCACAAATACCCAATACACAAATTTGGATACTGGTGGGGTTCTCGGGGGGGGGGGGGGATTTGGTCATTTGGGAGTTATACTTGCTGGGATTTATAGTTCACCTGCAGTTAAAGAGCATTCTGAACTCCACCAACGATGGAATTGAACCAAAGTTGGCAAACAGAACTCCCATGACCAACAGAAAACCCACCCAGAGGAAGGGTTTGGTGGCCACTGACCTTGAGTTTTGGAGTTGTAGTTCACCTGCATCCAGAGAGCACTGTGGACTCAAACAATGATGGAT